TTGTTCATTGATCGTGCAGGTCCTCTCTACCGCAACATCCCAGCAACGATCAATAGGATGATCTAGCTAATCGTTTGTTCATTGATCGTGCAGGTGCTCACCTATCGTGACATCCTAGCAAAGATCGGCAAGACGAACTCAGTTATCGACTACATAAAGGTTGACATCGAGGGCTACGAGGTTGACTTCCTAGAGAACGTGCTTTACGACGACCAGGAACTACTCTTCAGAATCAAACAGATCGGCATGGAACTACACCCATGTGAGTTTTATTTTCGGAGCTTGCTTTGTATGAACCGAAATATCAGAATTAAAGTTAATCGTAAAATTTCTATTTATTTTCCGTCAGTAGTTGATTTGTAAGGCAAAACCCAGTATATTATTGACCGATAGCCTTTTTGGTTAAGGTCGTCCCAATTGGATCTAGGATTAAGTTTCTCAGAATTTATGCAATCGCATATAATTTTATCACGATAAAATTCAATTATATATCCTTTAAAAAGCATGTATAAAGGAGTGAGGATACTTCATTTCTGATTGTGTGTTAAAGCAATGAGTTGCCTGAGAATTGGCCTTCATGATTGTTTTTTTTCAGCGATTTTCATAACTGAAATGTCGGCGGCAAAGCAGAAGTACTGGCGGCTCGTCCACAAGCTGCGAAGTTTAGGTTTCACACCGATATTCGGTGAGCCCATTCCTATATGGTACCTCTCATTAACGTACGATGGAAAAACAGAATCGTGTTGTTATGAAATTGTATGGATTAATAACCGCTTTGTGAAAAAATGAATTTTTATTCGAAGTTTATAACAAAACAATTTCTATGAGACGTTTCGTATTATAGTTAAAACCATAAGGGTATGAATCACAAATGCAAGTCGTTAGGAATGATACTAATAGAAGTATGGTACACGCTACAAAATATATAACGAGTAATGCGAAACAAGCTTTTTCAATTTCAATTGTTTTTCATAATGTGCAATTTACCGCGTTTAAAATAAAAATAATTGAAGCGTATCTAATTCTTCATTGTAACTTAATCAAGTGACAACCTCCACATCATAGCATGTGAACTCTCTTAAATTAACAATAAATTTCACGATCACATTCGGGTTCTTATTGGCTGTGGGAGTTCAAATGAAAGCTTAATACGGCATAGATGTCGAGACCATATATAAATTGCCTTAAATGGTTGCAAGCAAAGCGATGTATGATTTTAATGCAAACGATGATCTCGTTAAAAAAATGGTAATTAACTTACGTAAAAATTTCTTAATCTAGATAAATTTAATCGAATGACTTTGCTGATTGCAAAATTGTTGTGTTTAGAACACGCAGGTGCATTTTATTATTTTTTTTTTCAATGTCAAAACATTCAGGATTAGTGTTAATCTCAGCAATTCTATACCTAATGGGAGGAAAATAATAAAATATGATTTATTTAGAACAATGAAATGTGTCTTAGTGTATCCACATCCTTATTAGACCTTTGCATTTTTATGCTGTGTTTCTATTTCTAATAGAAACATATTATATTTTTATATGTAAAACCTCTTAGCAAGAAATATTTTTTAGGTAACATTAAGTAACAATAAGAACTGTTGTGAGTAGCAGTGAGTTACAATAAGAACGTTTGTAAGTAGATTTCTGTAACAATAAGAACTTTTTAAGTTGCAGTGAGAAACAATAAGAATTTTTGTAAGTAGCAGTAAGTATCAATAAGAAATTTAGTAAGTAGCAGTGCAGCGGGCCAGATATTGGCCTCGTTTTGTGTACTAGGTTTCAAGATGCCGCACTCCTCGAAAGAAGACCGCCGAGTAAAATGTATAAGCGGAACTGTCTGCGGATGTAGTCTTACTCTAGTACAGTGGTTCCCAAAGTGGGCGATATCGCCCCCCTAGGGGCGATGGAAAGATTTTGGGGGGCGGTAAGGAAGAAAAGGGCGATAGGGGGGCTGCAGTCTGAAGCCGAAGTCAGAAGTTCCAACGTTTGTTTGACGATTTGTACACAACACGTGCAGCACATCATGACTCCCAGTGATGGTTTTTTCACCCAGATTTGTTTTTTTAACTTTACCTGGCTTTACGTCTCGGACAAATTTACGGTCAGACTCGCGGCCGGTCTCACGTCCAATTACTAAATTCATGGATCATGGAATATCTCTCAAACTAATGAACTTAACTCGATGAAACTTGGTACACGGATTCATTAGGATCTAACGGTAATGTATAGCTCTTGAAAATTTTTTGAATTTTGCCTTCATTTGTTTTTGCCATTGTTATATGGCAATACGGGCCGAAATTCAAAGTGATGAAGGAATTTCTTCCAAACCACTGAACATATTCGAACGAAATTTTGATTTTACAATCCTAACTACCCAACAGTAATGTTTAGCTGGTAAAAATTTTTTCGATTGTGCCTTCGTTCGCGAGTTTTTTTTTATTTCACCTTCATTCGTGATTTAAACAGCAATACCTGCTTAAATTCGCAGTAAGCGCGAAATTTCTTCCAAACTACTGAACAGATGTGAACGAAACTTAGTATTTAAATACCTAACCTCAGCAACGGTGATGTTTAGTTCGTTAACATTTTTTTCAATTTTGCCTTCGTTTGCGAGTTATACGGCTATACGTAAACGGCTCTTGGTTAAAACGGCTGGTAGAAAAGCCGGTCGTTTCCCCTATATCTGTATAAATCGCGAACGAAAGCAAAATAGAAAAATTGTGACGAACTAAACATCACCGTTGGGAGGTTAGGTATTTATATACAAAGTATCGTTGAAATCTGTTCGGTAGGTTAGAATAAATTTTTTGATCACCACGAATTTAAGCGACAAATTACCCGGCGATACGAGCCGAGTATATGGAAGTGTGAAATCAAGAATGACAGTGAAATAAAAAAATAATCGCAAACGAAGGTAAATCAAAAAATGTTTTAAATCTAAAAAATCACCGTTTGGTAGTTAGGAATGTATATTAAAAATTTTGTTCAAATCTGTTCAGTAGTTTTAAGAAATTCTTTGATCACTAGCTGCGATTTTCGGCCTGTATCGCAATATAACTCACGAATGAAGGTGAAATTAAAAAAATTCGCGTGCTACACATCACCGTTAGGTTCTGATGAGTACATGTTCCAAGTTTCATTGAGCTACGTTCATTAGTTTGGGAGATATTACTTGATAATTGAATTTGGAGATTGGTCGTGAGACCGGTCACGAGTCCGGCCATAAATTCGCCCGAGACGTCCTAGGTTTCTAGTGCTGAAACAGTTAAAACAGCTGAAAAACATATTGGTTCACTAAATGGGGTTCTATTTGTGAAATACACAATTGTGTTTAACCTTCATTTTTTAAAATTGCAGCGTCCTAAATTTCAAGAAAGAGGCGTATGTTTTAATATGTGTCTGTGGGGGGGCGCTAGAAGTTCACTAGGGAGCCAAAGGGGGCGCCGGCCTGAAAAAGTTTGGGAACCACTGCTCTAGTAGGCAGCGACTTTATCATTACCATTGTTGTGCTTATCTGTGCTGTATTAACGTTCTTCATCATTTTGACCTCTCAAGCGTAATTGTATTTTGCGTTTTCAAGTAATTTCTGCAAATCTCTCAAATAAACATTGGCCTAAACTTCATCCTTAGTCGTTTCAATCGTCCACGAATCGTCGGGCCCGCTGGCAGAGACCTTGAACGGTTTAGATGTAGTATTTTCGCGCTACAGCAGTAAGTAATCTTAAAAACTTTTGTAAGTAGCAGTGCGTAACAATGAAAACTTTTGTTAGTAGAAGTGAATAACAATAAGAACTTTTCAAGGGGGTATGGAGAACCGCCCGAACTCCAGAGCGAGCATGCCTGAGTTTGCTACCGGGACGCGTGAAGGCTGACTATCTTACGTCTGGCCGGCGTGGTGCTATTCCAGGATGCATTCGGTGGTTGAATCAACTAAGCATTACGACATTGAGATCGGGGTGAAAGGAGGTTTAGAATGAAAATTGAAGCAGCATCTTTCATGAAACGTCGTACTGACGTTACAATGCAACGTTGAATAAATTTTCTACTACGACGTTGCTGCAACGTTTAATTTTATGGTTGAATCGACTCTGAAATAACTACCTATTACAACGTTGAGATCGCGGTTAAAAGAGGTTTAATGAAAATTGAAGCAACGTCTTCCATGAAACGTCGTACTGACGTTACAATGCAACGTTAAATCAATGTTACTACTACGACATTGCTGCAACGTCCAATTCTCTGGTTGATCAACGTTGAAGAATCAACCTGTTTTTCGTCCGTAGCAGGATTCGAACCTTGAATCGCTAGAGACCGCACGGTGCCTTAGCAATCTTGACCACGGTAGCTCGCGTGCATAAGCAATAGAAATAAGCTAACGAATTGTTCGACTCTTTGAAAAGTGAACTGCATTCTCTGGTCAATAATCGTACACTTATATATGTATGTATTTCATTCAATGTTGGTGTGATAACATTAGTTCTATACTGGTAAATAGCTAAACTTTCAACGTACCGATATCGTCCATTTTCCAACTTTGAAATAAGGTTGTTTTACGTCTTTTCTAGTTTTAGTCAGATTTCGACGTTGATCGGATGTTTAATTTTGGTTGTTCACATTTTAACCTGAAATCAACATTGATTCAACGTTTAAAACTTAGTAAACATTCAACGTACCAATATCGACGTTGTTTCAGAGTTGATTTAAGGTTGTTTTAATATTAATAATAATAATAGCGGTTACAGCGTTATTAGGCCGTAGGCCTGTCGCCGATTCTTAACATCGCAGAACATTCACAGCATTTCACGCAACTCACTGCTACAATTCTGCTATGCTTAACCGCCCGGCCTCCTTGCCGATTCTGACCAGAAACTGGCGCACATAGCTGGGATCGAACCCGCGCCTCTCTGCGCCAATCTTGGTACTCTGAACTTTAACCACTGGGCCACCCTGCCCAGCTATTTTACGTACGTTCTAGTTTTGGTCAGATTTCGACGTTGATCGGACGTTTAATTTTGGTTGTTCAGCATTACAACCTGAAATCCACATTGATTCAACGTTTTAAAATTAGTAAACATTCATCGTACCAATATCGACGTTATTTCAACGTTGAAATAAGGTTGTTTTACATCCGTTCAAGTTTTGGTCAGATTTCGACGTTGATTGGACGTTTAATTTGGGTTGTTCAGCATTTCAACCTGAAATCAACATTGATTAAACGTTTAAAAAATAGTAGTAATTCAACGTACCAATATCGACGTTATTTCAACGTTGAAATAAAATTGTTTTACGTCCCTTCTAGTGTTGGTTAGATTTCGACGTTGATATGACGTTTAATTTTGATTGTTCAACATTTCAACCTGAAATCCACATTGATTCAACGTTTAAAACTTTGTAGAAATTCAACGTACCAATATCGACGTTATTTCAACGTTGAAATAAGATTGTTTTACGTCCCTTCTAGTGTTGGTCAGATTTCGACGTTGATATGACGTTTAATTTTGGTTGTTCAACATTTCAACCTGAAATCAACCAATAATCAACGTTGTTTCAACGTCAGATGCCTGCTGGGATAGGAATGCGTGCGAGCGCAGGCACGTCTGGGCTGGACCACCGTACACTCTCACAACAGTGCACATGTCATCAATGAGCTTTGACTACTGCCAGCAAATTCTTTGCTCTTTACAGCGCGATCTTAAAAATAATATACGTCTAAAAATTACTTTTTAAAGACAACACTTCCAAAGAATCCAGTATCTCCAATCTTACAGATGTACAATGAATTTCTCATCTAATTTTCGAAAATTAGAAAAATTTATTTTTCAATTTTTTTAATATATATAAATTTTTTTAATATATACATTTTTTCAAAATAATTTGTTCTGTTAATTGATTCATGCATTGCCTCTGACTTCACACAAGTGTGCAAAATTTCAGATCAATTAGACAGGTAAAAGTGTGTCAAATATCAATTATAAGATTTGTAGCTGACAAAATTATTTTTTCAATTTTTTTAATATTGAAAAAAAAAATAATTTTTAAATTTTAAAAATCATTTATTTTGACATTTGATTCATGCATTGTCTCCAACTTTAAACAAGTGTGCAAAATTTCAGATCGATAGGATAAGTAGAAGTGTATTAAATTTTGATTACAAGATTTGTAGCAGATAGACAGACAGACAGACAGACAGACAGACAGACAAACAAGAAGTGAAGTTAAAGAGAAGTGTTGTAAAAAAACAAATAAACATAAAACATGATGTGACATTAATTTCAAATATATTTCCATGTAATTTGATTTCATTTTCTGCTTCAAGCAAGGACGTGATTATTGTAAAATTCACCTTGCAGAAAAATTA